GATACTGACTTGAAATAAACCTGGTATATTTATAGTATTTTACATCTCATTATTAAACAATTAATCATTTACTTAATAATTAGTAATAATTATAATGACGTCATTAAAATATTTAATATTATCTAATGAATTAACAGTTATAACTTCGTCATTAAAATACTCAATATTATCCAACAAATTAAATACCTTGGAATATATAAATGAATGAAATAATATTATCGATATACAATTATTTATCAATTAATAAGGGATAGTAAGGAGTGGGTAATTAGGTAAAATATACTATATAAAGTCTGAGTTTGAAATAGTACTTCATTCCATTATTACGATCAGTATCTGTTATCATTCAGAATAACTACAAATACAAGGTAAGTGAATTTAAAGGCCATGGTAACTAGAAACAAAATAGACCACAAGTCCACCAACTAAACCAATAGACAACTTGATGGTAAAAAAATCTTACAGTGAAGCAAGGTTGGGAACATATAGGGAAATTGCAACGTTAGCATTGAATCGTGTAAAATGCAATGGGACTCTTACGCCCTCTTGTTCTGTATCTGATTGTGCTTATTAACGCTAAGCATTGTATTTTGAAATGAGCACAGCACAGGATAAACATACCCTTTCCGATTTTAAACTGTCAACGGATTTTTAACGTGTAGAGCCAGTTGATTAATCCAACCAAACGACGCCTAGCTAGACCTTCCAACCTGTGCCGGGATTTTAAGGTTAGCGAGCGTCTTTTTGAAGTTTATATTTCTATCTCAGAATTAGGAAGGTTGTGAAAGCCAATTCTGATGGAGCACAAAATATACGACTTTTAGTTTTAACTCAGATATCGTATTGTTTACATATTTATAAAAATCAGGTCTTATGTGATCATTGCCCTACTTTATATTAATTATTATATTATTCATACGTATGTTCTCATTTTTTCTTTCAAATATAGATGATGAAATTAGTTGTTGCTGTCGCCTGTTTATTGGCTGTTGCTAATGCTGGTATGTATGGAGGCGGACTAGGAATGTATGGAATGGGAATGATGAACCCTATGGCTATGTATGGAATGATGAACCCTATGGCTATGTATGGTATGATGAACCCTATGGCTGCTATGTACAACCCTATGATGTATGGTGGTTTAGGAATGATGGGAGGATTAGGAATGATGGGAGGTTATGGTGGATTAGGAATGATGGGAGGTTATGGTGGATTAGGAATGATGGGTGGATTAGGAATGATGGGTGGTATGTCACCTTATGGTGCTATGGGATTTGGTGGTGTTGGATTTGGAAACCCTGCTGTTGGTGGACAAGATCCAAGTCAAGTTATTTAAATGAAGAGAATAAATTAGAATATTTTATCATGGTTCATTGTAAATAGAATAATATTGATCATATTGATAATAAAATTAATTTGTAGTATTATATTCATTGTTATGTTATATCGGTCTATGAACAACATGGAGTTGTTATATCTCCAAATTTTTAACTCTTGATCGTTGGAATCAGATTATCTTTCTTGGGGTTTCTTCTAAGTTAAGTTCGCTGTATGTGCCAGAACATGAGACAATAAATATCAGATTGTCCGAGCTGGTTAAATTTTCATCATTGCATGGTAGTGTCCACCTTTTTTTTGACACAAATGGGAATATGACGTATAATTCCATATCAATTCAGAGTAATTGAATTGGTCCGACTTTCATCTGAAAATATTTGAAAGCCCAAAGATTTTTTTAACCAATCATACTTTAGTCTCAGAGATTTTTTTTTTATATCGAGGCTAATTAGTAATAGTGTGCATAGTTCACTGTCGAAATTTGAGCTTTCAAATCCATGTATGTCTAAAATTGTCTGCGTTTGCACGTTAATAAGACGAGTCGTCTTTTTTATGAGACACTGCCATACAGAGAAAAGACATTTATAGAACTATGAAAAGAAATTCCAGTTTGAGATATTTTTGAAGGAATTGTGCTATTTTCATACATTTCTTGTACATCTGAAAACTGTTTACATATATTCAAGACTAAAATCAAACCACACAACCTTCTGTTAATTGTACTATCCTAATTTTTTTTTTTTTTTTTTTTTAATTCTTATATATACTATGCTATATTTATATATCGGTTTACAGATTATGTATTCCATTATCAGTTTAATATATATCTTACAAAGTTTATGTTGTTATTGGTTCCCAAAACGACCAGCCTCAATTAGTGTTTTAATTACCAGAATCACATATAGAACCTGTAACCATAATGACAGATATTAAACACCGTAATATGCTACAGAGCGCAAGCGGAACTTTCACAGCGGGAAGTTTGTATTAGACTTACAGGCACAGGTACCATGCGAGTCAAAATACTGGAATATATCTAACCAAATTTTACAGACCAAGGGAAGTAACCATGTGATAAATGATTTATACAAAAATAAATATAATTTCGTATGTAGGTCAACATAAAAAAAAACCCATAAGCTTATTTATTTGAGCAATATATTTGTGAATGGCGTCGTGATGTCGACCATAAAACATTTTGATAATTACTTCTAGCAATGTACCTGTCATAAGCTTGCGCTAGTGAAATATTCCTGATATTGAAATGGAAATTAACAGTTGGAAAATGAGCATCATTGCCTTTGTTGTATAGTCATCAGGACATATTTTATGAATCTAGTCCTATAAATGTTTCATATTCATACAATGTCAATATGCCTATCGTGCTATTTATTCTACTAGCCAAATGTTTGTGAACGATCTTTGAAGTTATATTTTGAAGTTATTGCTAATGAAAGTTGCTGCAATGCAAGACAATGGAAATAATTCTATTAAAGTGCTTGGATGTATCTTATGACATGTTACCTGTCATTTGTGAAAGGGGAAAAACCAGATTGGATCAGCTGATCTAAAGGCCATAATAAGGAAATTCGAGTCAGACGCCCACAATTCTAGGAATCATTTCTCAGTGTTTTCAGTACAATAATCCTGATATATTTAAATGTTTTATTGACAATAATTATGGTATGCAGATATTTACAAAAAAATGATAGTTATTTCGCTGGAACATACTTATGCCTGGAAACTACCTGAAAAATACAAGAAATAACATTTAAAACGTCTATACTCGGGATACTATCGCGTGAAAATATTAATAACAATTTCAGATTTAGTGTTTTAACATTAGTTTACATTATTATTTACTTAGGCTACCAGCACGAATAGAAAATCTTCATTAAGACAGGAACAGATAGAGTCTACATATTCAAAGGTTTGCGATTCGCAAGACTGTGATCAATTTCAGCACTGTTTTTAGTGTAAAGTAAAGTCTTTAATTAGTTACCTAAACTTGGATCTTGTCCACCAACAGCAGGGTTTCCAAATCCAACACCACCAAATCCCATAGCACCATAAGGTGACATACCACCTATCATTCCTAAACCACCATAACCTCCCATCATTCCTAAACCTCCCATCATTCCTAATCCACCATAACCTCCCATCATTCCTAATCCTCCCATCATTCCTAAACCACCATACATCATAGGGTTGTACATAGCAGCCATAGGGTTCATCATACCATACATAGCCATAGGGTTCATCATACCATACATAGCCATAGGGTTCATCATGCCCATTCCATACATTCCTAGTCCGCCTCCATACATACCAGCATTAGCAACAGCCAATAAACAGACGACAGCAACAACTAATTTCATCATCTGAAAAGTATGAACGTGTTCAAAAATATGATGATCTACAAAGACTGTTAGAATAACAAGATGTGCTAACGCTAGTAAAACCAAAATCAAAACCTTTCGTTCTCGACTTTTTATGATTTAAAACGCCATGTTTACTATCGACGACATTTTTCATCAAAATTACAGAGTGTCTCCCCTTATTAACTATGTAGCCGATAATTCTCAACGGATTCACGGCATTACATCGACTCGATTTTTGTGCAACTGTCGCTTACATGCCAAATTTCATCACAATGTCACCTACCTTAATATTTAGTGACCGCTAAGAAGCTTACTGATTCGAATACAACACAGTTTATGAAAAAACTATACTTATAAAGCGTTTATATAGTATCTCAAAGATAATTAGTGGAATATTAATTAACAAAATTTCATTGGTAATGTTATGAAATTCATTCATATATTCAAAGAATTTAATTCATTAGATAATATTGGATATTTCAATGACGTCATTATAATTATCAATAATGAAGATAAATTATAAATTAATTGATATTAAACTACTATAAATACGTGTTCTTTCTTCGATATTGTCACTTGCAGTTTGACATTTGGTTAACACTATTTGAGTAAATAGAAAAAGAACATAAAAAAGGTGAGATAAGTTTTAATCAAACGGATTGTTTGAAGGTACGCTGATGGGATCTTTTCACACACAAACAGTGAAACGTAAAGGACTGTTCAAAAAGGAAAACACAAAAACTCAATCATTTAATAGGTGTTACTAGCAGTGTCGTTTCTAGAAAACATCCGGTGATGGGGCGAGCGAAAATTTTTTTAGGAAGGGCCATAGACCATTCTTTCACTATCTAAAATGATAAAAAAAATGGGGGTGGGTGGGGAGAGAGGGGAGCCGAGCCAGTATCTTTTCTGCTGAGGGGGGGGTGTTATGGCCCCATCTTGTCCACCGTAGAAACGTCACTGATTACTAGCTTTTCGCCTGTGTTTTTGTCGTGACGTTAGACGTTGTAAGGACCAAACCTGTAGGGTACAGTTTTCTTTCGCTTCTAGTTCCGGTGCCAATGGTGGATAGGAGGTCAGAAAAATTATTCTTACTTAAATTTCACAATATGTTGTCCGCCTATTAAGTCAGTTCCCAGTTCTCGCCACTGCCTGCTAACCTTGTTTAGATTTCAAAATATTGTATTTCTTTTTGTTAACAGATGATGAAATTAGTTGTTGCTGTCGCCTGTTTATTGGCTGTTGCTAATGCTGGTATGTATGGAGGCGGACTAGGAATGTATGGAATGGGAATGATGAATCCTATGGCTATGTATGGTATGATGAACCCTATGGCTATGTATGGTATGATGAACCCTATGGCTGCTATGTACAATCCTATGATGTATGGTGGTTTAGGAATGATGGGAGGATTAGGAATGATGGGAGGTTATGGTGGATTAGGAATGATGGGAGGTTTAGGAATGATGGGAGGTTATGGTGGATTAGGAATGATGGGTGGTATGTCACCTTATGGTGCTATGGGATTTGGTGGTGTTGGATTTGGAAACCCTGCTGTTGGTGGACAAGATCCAAGTCAAGTTATTTAAATGAAGAGAATAAATTAGAATATTTTATCATGGTTCATTGTAAATAGAATAATATTGATCATATTGTTTATAAAATGAGTAAAAATTTGATACACTATTTTTGATTTTTTTCTCTATATTCTTATTTTGAGGAATATATTTTAGAAATGTGCAAAAATATGACAATTTACATGTTAGAATTGTTAAAAAGATTGACACAGCATAGAGCATCAAAGACGAGTAGGGACCAAGAAAGAACACCATATAGTTACCAAAATTTTGTATGGAATATCATTCGACAAATTATACCATTATTATCCCTTTAATGAACTTTGATTCACTACACAAATCAATTACGTAGACAGATCAAGGGTTAGTACAAAATAAGCTTAATTTTGTTACTAATCTGAATAATCCAGAACAAATATAAGTAGATTAACATAGCCTATTTATCAGAATCAATACAACTCTTAAAGAATGTGGTTAGTTAGAAAGAATAGGCGTTTATCAATCAATGAAGCGAAAGTCTGCCTGGATGCATTTGAACATTGAACACAACATAAAACCATAGCCCTTAAAAAAACATACTTCTGTGTCTTTTACCTTGGCGGCAATAGCCACCTTCCTTGCATCACGGAATGCGACAGCCATTCAAAGCTCTCGACATAAATACTTTAAACATAGGGCTCTAAATGGCTGTATTCCTTAGCGTGCAATCCAATCAAATCACTGCATTTACTATCCTTGGTGATACAATAGAGTTGGTTACACAGTTCGTTATAGCTTGACATTTTAATAATTATATTATTTTCTCAAATGTCTCTCTGTTTTTCTGTGAAATTGATCATCATTTTACATGTATTTAAGTTAAGCAATGAAAGATGCTATTCCAACAGAATAGGATATACTTGGGAAATTTTCAATCGATCTAAATATAGTGGTTCCAATCTTTGCAAGATGAAATGGATATTATTTGACCATGCATGTATGAGTTATATATTCCGTCTTTAGCATCTATGTCAGCTCAGCGTCTCTTTCGAATAGTCCACACACACACGTAACTAAAACTGTTTATTTGGATTTTGTAACTTTCTGAAAATATTGAAGACAATAAGTTGTGCCTTTAACCTGTCATTCCTTTAATTAGGGTGGATAATTCGAGTAACCGAATCAGTAAACAAACAGATTAAATCACTGATATATCATAATATTATTTAGTTTTATATCGCAAATAGCATTTATGTGTCTACACTAACACAGGTCAATTGGGTATTTCAATGCGGCAGGATTTGAAGTGAATGGTATATTTCACACAGACGTAGTTAGACTAAAAGCTTCGGACGTGAAAGGTGTTCAGGTCCGCAAATTCATTTTACGAACATTAGTGACAAAGGATTTTGAAGGAAGATACATTTGGTTTGTGACGCTCAAAATGCGTAAAGCGTCAGTTATATCCGATATTAAACCGGAACAAATTCATGTACCAGACGAAAATCCTTCACCCAGTGGAAGAAGAAAGAGTATGCTTCCTCCTATCGGTGGCTTAAATCTCAATACCATACTCTCGTCGAGGCGTGCTATTAAGAAGTCTTTGCTATCCCGAAACAGTGATGCTAACTTTGCCCCGCATGTGGTGCCACTACAACCAACGTATCGTATGGAACCCACCACCTACTTTGTTACGTCTGAAGCTTACAAAATCATCAAGAACGTTTTAGAGAAGCACCTTGATGGTTTCCAATACAACAGTAAATGCTGTCAAACAATGACAACTTTACTTAGTGATGATATAAAGGATCAAGTGAGACATTTAAACTTTGGACGATACAAGGTAGTTGTTACTGTTTTTATTGGTGAAAGAAAGGAACAAGGAGTTATGGTCGCTAGTCGATGTGCCTGGGATGTAAAAACCGATACCTTTGCCACCTATACTTTTAAAAACCCGTCATTATTTTGTACAGCTTCGGTTTATGGAGTTTATTTGGAGTGACCAATTCTAAAGAAATCGGAAAACATTGAAGATGCCGAATACGTTAAAGTGTAGACTATAAACAAGTTGAACTGAACTTTCTTTGTTTTATGCAACATCTCTTGAAGGAAGGTATTTTATATAATAAATGTACATTTGTGTATACAATATTTAATAGAAAATATAAAAGATGAATGACAAAATTCTAATGTACAAATATTGTATTTACATCAATAATATCATGGGCGTGGAACGTTGCTCAGAATGCGCTGGTGGTTGGTGGAAGCAATCAGCTCTATGTTTTGAGCTCCAATTGTAGTTTAACAAAACTTCTTTGTAACTTAGTTGTCAGGAGCAATATGCCACGATCTTTATTCTGTTCTTTGTCTTGGGGGGAAATATTTTAAAACCCATTTAAAATATTCAAACCAAATTAATTAAATAGCTTGAAATATCATATATAGCACTATAGATTTCATTAACATCATCCGAGCTTTTCAGTATATGTCATCACGTAATTTTGATGGATTTATATCATCCTTTCTTCCGATGCAGATCTTACCGAAGATAAAAAATCGACTGTTTTCTGAACGTATATACATGATCAGAAGACTTATCCTTATCTACAGAATTACATAGTAATCATGGTCATGTCCATTAAGCAGTTATAATTTTGACTGGACGTAACATGGCAGTGAGAAAAAAGATATGCACTTCACCGACATTTATGTGTTGTCGGCGTCCCAAAATGTTGTCCAACACATATAATGCACAATATCATCTTTACACAATTAATAAACAGTTTGCCCTAAAACGGCAAAAATAGATCACAATAGCACGTATAGTAAGGATTTTTGATGTGCGTTTATCAACTTAATAAAAGATCTTATAAATGTGACAAAAGTAACCCTGTTCAATATCAGCGTTGAATATCGAAGTAAACCAAGCTTAGGTAACTTCAAATCTTCATGTTGTCCTACGCGTAACCAACATTCATAAATTTTCACTATGAGTACATTTTCACATTAACTGTTTTCTTTGTAAGTAATCTTTTTTTTTTTAACTCGGATGATAGTAACCACCTTCGGCATTGGTAATGGGCGCCATTTCCTCTATAGTTTCATCAGATAGCTTATTTCTTTGACGCCTAACCCACATATATGCCAAAATTGCTATAACTATTAAACCTACAGCTATTCCACATGATATACCTATTATGAGAGGAGTCATGGAAGCTCCACCAGTTCTTCCCACTGATGTTTGGGTCTCTCCAATTCCAATATCTGTTTGCGTTAAATTTACCGTATTATTTCCATCAGCCGAAAGCCTAGGAATCGTTGTACTTCCGGTTGACTCCCATGATACTGAGCTAAATATGCTTAGGGTTGTATTCCTGGTACTTGGTTTGATAGCATCGGTTATTGGAGTTATATGCGTTTGTTTTATGCTGGTTTTTCTTGTAGTATTAGTCTTCGGTGTCGATGTTGAAGGATTGACCGAAATTGTTGAAGCTTTTGCTTTCATGCTTGTGCTTTTTGAAGGTGACTTAGGTTTCCCCGAGATTGTTTTTTTCATAGTTGTTAGTGGTGTTGTTGATTTAACAGTTGTTTGTTTTGGTTTTATTGTTGTTTTGCTATATTTTTGACGGCTTGTCGTCTTCATGGTTTTTCGTGGTATGGTTGATTTGAAAGTTGGTCGTTTTGTTGTCGTGGACGTGCTCATCGTTGTCTTCATTTTGGTTGTGCGAACAATTGGTGTGGTTTTAGGTTCTGGTGTTGTTTTCATTGATGTTGTTATCATCGGCGTGGTTTTCCTAATAGTTGTAGGCGTTTTCTTTGGAGTCAATCTTGCTGTGGTTGGCACACTAGTTGTTTTGATGTTTGACTGTTTTGTTACTGCTGTGGTAGGTTTCCGGGTTGTACCATTAACTGCTTTTGTTGTTGCGCTTGGTTTGGAAATTGTCGTTGAAGTTATTTTCTGAGTAATTATCGATGATTGTACATCTGGAGAACTAGATTCTGACTCCGTAGTCATTTCATCTGCTTCAGCAGTAGTTAATGAATCTGCAAAAGGATACAATGCGATAATGTTTGCAACAGTCACACGTGCACTATGCGGATGTTATACCTTCTTTTGACTGAAAGACGTTGGATATGTAAGCGAAACCTAATACTTTCCTTATACGTTCCGTTACTGGTCAAGTAGTTAATTGAAATCACGTTGATGTAGGCTACCAATGTTTAAATAAAAGACCTTTTTTGCTCATTTAAAATAAGTTGTTAATACTTTCAGATGACATAACGGCATTTTGTCTTTTTGATCTGTACTTAAAAAAATATACATTATTCAAGGCAATAAGATCAGAATTTAAGAAACTTACCCTCAGAACAATTATACATTCTAACATCATCAATAGCTATATCACTTACAAAAGCTTCCTTTCGTGTACCCACAATTATTATCTGAAAAGAAACATTGAAAATAAGGAAGTGCATTATCGTAAGGAGAAAACCTACTTACAATTATTCAAAACCACACTCTAAAGATAGAGTCCTACCAAAGGTTATACTTTGATTAGACACAGTACACAGTTAAGAAGCCAGTAACCATTCTGGATCATTGAACATGATCATGATTCCAAACCTAATTTTATGTTAAAAAAATCCCTGTCTAGCCGAGATAACGTTACGCTTGACCACATTCAAGACAAATTCGATCCAATATGGTAATTGTATTAAAAGCTCGACTTTTCGAGGATAGTCCAACCAGAAATAATTTGCTGACAACCATCTGATACAGTGACACCGAGTACCACAAAACAGAAAATAATGGTATATTTAAGAGAACGTACCATCGCCCCATACAAAAAAAAAACATTTACCTGGAAGACCTCTGTTTGACCTTCTATATAAATAGTTCCTCGTTTCCAATCAGCACCTTGATTACCTTCCATAATAAACTCAGGATCAATATCATTGATTGTAAGACTTTCTGGTTTAACAAAAACTTCTAAACTTCCCACAGCTAAAAATAAAAGAATAGGCCTACATTACGAACCAGCGGCCAAATAGTGGTTTGAGTTCCTTCCGCAGTTGTATCCGCATTTCGTGGAAAAGATAAATATCACCTGATTGTTTGCAACATTTTCAGCATTGTGGATATACACGGTTTTAGAATTCATGGTAATTCGGTATATCTAAATGATCCGTTCCGACCAAGGAACAACATATTGCAACTGAATGATTAACGTAATTTTACTACATTCGAAGCCCAAAGGTGAGAAATAGATTGTAACACATACCGTTTTCTTCATCAGGTCCCTGCATGTGATACCAGAATTCAAAACACGTGTCACTATATTTAGCTTGGTAGAGAGGTGAGGCCAGTACAGCTCTATCCAGTGGTTTTCTTGGTGACGACGATTCAATAAATAGATAATGACCTGAGAATGAAATACAACTAATTTCAACGATGATTATGGAACAATATTCAAATAATTCACATGCGTATACGTAAATAATTGTTACTGTGGCAATTGGGGAATCCTTCAACGTTTGATGTCTGCGAAATGGAACTTAAAATGAGTAAGCATATCGCGCAGATTAAGTTGGTCGTTTTCGATACCTTGCTAAATGCCATAAAAACGTTGTCCAACACAACTTCACTCGCAAAGCATAAATTTTATTGTAACAAACCTGTAGAATTGGAAGCATGTGTATGGTCACGTAAGGGTCCGGTATTGACAGTTGGTGTTTTACCAGATAACCAGGTCCATTCAAAATCATCATCATCTGACTGACTCCAACCACATAACTCCTCTTGTTCAAAATCACACTGTAGACTTATACCGACTGTAAACAAAGACATTAGATTTCTATTTTCTATTGACAAGAGATCAGTTAATGATTTCATATGGAAAGTAGATCACGAAAAGGTCTGGTTCAGAGATGGAGGTAAAATCTGTAGAGTATGTTTAGAGTATATTGAAGTCACCAATTAAAGTATCTCGATCAATGTTCCAGGCATTTATTCTTAGGTCGAACAGTAACCCCAATGATTTTTTTGATAACCTTATAAGTCATATGCAATTAGATCTAATATCATCAGACATAAACTGAAAAGACGTATTTATTGTGACGCTGAAGACACATGTCATGCTGTGCTGTTAAGCACAAGTCTTCAACAGAAGAGAGATTAATATGGGATGAACATCGCCCACCATGCACACATGTGATGCTCTTTTATGGGCTATTACTAGTGACGAGTTTGTGCTTTAGTTTATGAACTGATTCCATAAGATGAGTGTATGTGTGGTAAAACGTCAACGTATTTCAAATCATATCTCCCCTAGTTTTAGGTACAAGGCTCGCTATCATGCTCCAAGTACGTAACCCATCTAGTGTCCTTTATTTCTACCAATGTTTTTCAGTAACTTTGCTCACAAATGAAAATTTTCTTAAAGGTCGGAAACAGAAACATGGAAGTTCCTCAAATCGTGATTTTTTATAACAGATGCTGTTAAAGCACACCATATTCAAATCAGTTTTGATAGCATCTGGTAAATATAAACAGACATTAAATGGGTATATCGTTCGTGATCATGCAAATAAAATATAGTGAAAGGAAACCGAACTTGAGCCATTATTACCAACACAGGACGGCTGATCAGCATTCCATTTCTTTCCATTACAGTGAATAGATTCGGGTCCTTCCCTTTTCATTCCAGCAGGACAAGTAAATTTTAGCATGGCACCATCATATTCTCCCGAAATCTGCAAACCATCTTTTGGCACTATAGTTGGACAACCTCGTCCTGAAAGAGGAATACTTTTTGTTATATAAATCGCAACTTGAAATGCATTACATCTTCTACAAGGCGCACTCTAAATAATGTGTTCCGTAATATCATGCTGCAGACATGTCCTGTATCACAACAGAACTTAATCTGAAGCTGGTGTTTAAAATGCTAGCTTGATTAGGCCTTATTCGCGCCATTTCAATTTCGACTCGTCAATTAAAATTTTGATTCGCGTTTCATAAAATTTCGGTAGCAATTTAAACGGTCTATAATTCATCAAGGTTTCAACGATTTCATTTGATTGGCAGATTTTTGCAATAAATTTTTATTATGGCGAATCATAAGAAATATTGTATCGCAGCAATACACGTTTTTATGAGATTTCAATACCTATACAAATAGGCGCTGGCTGACTCCATACACTGTTAGGTAAACAAACAGCAAACTTGGGACCGATTCTAGTGAATTTCTTTCTACAACGAAAGTAAACCATTTTTCCTCTGGCTCGAACTTTAGCACGTCCATTTTCTATCCGTGGTCTCACACAACCTGCATTTCCTGTGAAAAGAAAATATAATTTCAAACATCCTCTAAACGGACACAGATCAGTAATGAACCTACTAATCATTAATTCCACTGGCATTTCAATTTTTTAAAAGTTGTTTTTCGAGTATTTCAGTCAATTCTGTTTTCTCGTCAAGTATGTGAGATTTGTGTAATTCCTGAATACCTTAACTCAACGTTGAGCTAAGAATTACAACCGTCACAAATGTGATATACAACCATATTAAGAAGTATGTATTCCTTAAAGCGATTGTAATGCGGTTTCTAATTTTCTTAAGTGTATCGGGGACAATGTGAGAATGAATTTGCCCCATTCCAATTTTCAATCAGAAGTTTGTGGTTCCTGCGACTCCAATAAATATGCCTCATCGCCTAAGGCCATCGCGATTAGTAAGGTCATCTAACACTTAGTTTAATTGGAATGGTGCAAATTGAAGCTATCAGTGTTCCCAAATACACATAACATGTCTTAGATGACCTCTTAACAATCCCTTTAAAGCCGAGCCGTTCGCATCATTTTAACACTTAAAATTAGCAGATTCTTCAACACTGTACGTTTAACCCCCGAAAATCAATTGAATATTCTACTTACTTTGTCCTTCAACGGAATGTTGAAATATCGAGATCAGGAAAATGACAAATGAATAGTGAATAATATTCATTTTAATTGAATAATAAATATCTTGTTTTGTACAATACTGGCTGTGATCTGGTATCGTTCACTGTCACTTTTGATTTTCTGTGCTCTCTTTGCCTTGCCTTGATCTTTCTGGGTTTTTCGTCCCGTGTGATAGAGCTGGCGTTCTTCTCCTGAAAAAGATGCTATTATCGAGCCACAAAACCAACTTCACTGAGATCCTATAACCGAATCCACCATTGCAGATTTAATAATCAACTCGTGTCTATCCTTTTTTTTTTATTGCAACCCGGTTAACATTGGAGGTTCCATGGGCAGAAATTCCGAATTTCTCCCTTTAACCGCGTCTTCTGAGCTAAATTTTACTGATTTGTTTAATGAGTGAATTCAATTACTGATACGACACTTCGTCCTTTGAAAACCACCTTTGTTTGATATTTGAGCTTATCGCCTTAGAGAATCATCACTTTCGATTACAAAATCTTCCAAAAATGATTCCAAAATTTCCCTAACGAAAACCTATGCCAAATTAAACGTTAGTATGTAAAATGTAAACGGTCTGTAATTAATGAGGAAGGTTTGGCGACTAAATGACTGGAAATAAAACTCCCCGGAAAACAACCCTTGAAGCTTAAAAGTTGATAAGTTGATTTAACGTTTCTGTTCACGTTATAATGTATCGAGATATGATTATTTGCACAGGATATAGTAAGAAATTCGATATCAATGAGTTTATTATGAAATAGCTAATAATTAGTTTGATCATCTGCACACATTTAATAACATATGTACTTTGATCCCACGGCTAAAAGCAGCTATTATTGAACTAATATAGGCTAGAAGACTAAAAATAAACAGCATGAATATTTGAATAAATAATTTAGCCTCTAAGATTTAACGACAACTCATTAGGATTAGGATCTTACGAAACAAACTAATTTTTTTAACAAACGAAATAATACGATTCGGTAGGTAAAGCAAAGACGAACTATAATAGTGTGCTCTTAAGTCATTGCAAAGGTCTTTCCTACATCTTTTCAAAGAAGAAGAATGCTTTTAAGCATGTTTTGAGCGACCTGCACTGTGAATATACTATGGTTAAATTCAATTGATCTATTTCTATAAACACAGACACCGATTCTTGTTGAGTATACTCTCGAATTTCATCGCTGTTGTTTCCATAGGACTAACAATTGCTGGTAGATTACATGCACAAAATGTCGAAGAAAAAACTTGTTTTATAATTCAAATGAGCTATTGAAAACTTAACTGAAAAACTAAATAAAAAATTCCAATTAAATACATAAATATTCAACATATTTGACACGTGTCACGTTGTAAGAGGATGCCGACGTTAAAACTTAAAGTACCGTTAAAAAGTGTGAAAGAATAATTGAGATTCGTTCTACCTTTCTGCGACTGATAGGGTTAATTATGACACAAAAAGCTATGGAATGTGCATTGAGGAAAATTATCTCATATTTAGTCTGTTGCCCACGGGTTTCGGTTTATTGCCCAACCAGGAAGAAAAATCAATCAATAAAGACTTTGCGTGGTATTATAAGTGTAAATTGTAAGGATGTTAAATTGATAAAGATCAACGGGGTTAATTAATGGGTCAAATGTTTTAGTCATTACTTTTACATACTTTCCGGAAGTAGCTAGAAATTCTACAAGTGGTTATTTCCCTTTTTCTTTAAATTCAGACTCGTGTATTTTATTTTTGATTCTAGAAATGTGACGAATTCGAATAAACAAATGGTCTCGTTTTTTCCTAAAAATAAATTTCAGATTTTATGATTTTCCTTTGTTTGTGCAATATATTTGTCCGTCCTTTAATACCAACTTTGATTCGTTTAATATAGACATGCGAGTTGGCTAAGCAAGTTAAACGCTTGTTCCAGGTCTTGAACTCCTTTCTGAAAGTACATAAGGAGTAAACTGCTAAATTCTTGTTTATTCGACGTAGACCGGCATAATTACCGTTGAATTAAAATGAAAACCAGCTTCTTCAGTCGATGGCGCTAATATGCACGGCCATGATTTATATTATTAATCACAAGAAAATTGTTAATACCTAGCTACGGCGCAGTCACTTTTGACTCCACCAAATCTTACTTTTTCAAAGTTTGTATATACTGCCTGTGGTATAACCTACATTGTCATTGTTACTGACACTGACATGGACCATAAACGTCGACCAAAGACATAGACGTTTGCCCGAAATTTTGTATGGATTTTACTTGTATTTATCTTCGTTTTCGTGTTTTTGCCCGATATTTTTTCGGTCGCTGTCCGAAAAGATAATATTTGGGAGGGGTGCCCCCGTGTCCTACGCCTATGACCTACCAAAGACAACGGACATCAGTATACCAATATGGCTGTCACATAGTATAAGCTGACGAAAGGTTATCTGTTAATTTGTCAATATGGAGCATAACTTTAAATGAATTTGATGTTGAATGAGTTCGATTAAAGCGTCAGATCTATTTTTTTTATAATGAAGGGAGGTAACTACGATATAATTGTAACATTCAGTTCTCTTGTCTGAAAAATGTCGGTTCAAGTTGTGACCCAGTTTAATGGAATAAAGCGTATCTATGGTTCAAAGAACGCCTATACCCAGTATGCGAGCCTTTGCAAATTAGAGGGGCTTAGCGTGAAAAAAGTGACTAATCTTTCGGATGGGACAATATCTGAGGTCTGATGATCCCATGAGATGTGAACACTATTACAGATTGGCGTAGCTGAAATTTCTGAGACTAAAGTATGATTGATCAAAAAAATGTCGTATCCGTCCCTTTAAACAGGTTACAAAAAAGAAAAACAAGTAACCGATTCTAGTAAAGTTTGCATTACAACGAAAGTAAACCATTTCTCCTTTCACTCGAATTTTAGCACTTCCATTTTCTTTCGTTGGTATCCCACAACCTGCGTTTAATAAGAATACAAAACGTCACAGAGAAATCATATATGTTAAGATATCTTTGGGCCTTTAATTTATGACCACGGATTTGTTTGATGTTTGTGTTGTCGGACGTGATGTTGATATCAAGTGATGTTTTAAATGGGTGATCCAGAAACAGGCAGACTCAAAGCATTATGCAGTACTGAAAAAGTGAAAAAAAAATAACTGAAAAACGATGTAAGGTGATATTTTCGGTTGGGAAATTTTCAAAATACAGTATCTTCTATTGCGTTTTAACAAGAGTATAATAGACACCTCTACCTTTCTGACGCATTATTCATGGAACGCGAATTGTAATTTACACACGGAAATTCTTACTGAGAAGTAAATACATCGCCCTATCAGCAGGGACTATCTTTTGCCGGCGCTTCACCATTCTTTATTGATCATATATACGGGCGAAAAAAGTTCTACGAGTGGCGCATAGTCTCAATAATTCGCTTCGTGTGTACCTAAAAAACACTATTCTACCCCAACCATAGTGAAAAAATACAGACAACAATTACCCTTGAATGATAATATGCGGATAACTTGTAAATATTAAAAGGCAATGACCCGAACGCCCCATCTTCTGATACTTTCATTTGTGAGGTCTGCGTACATCCGGTATAACAATCTTCCATAGAATCAAGTCCCACTCTGTGCAACGTGTGGCTCTAGTTATCTTTTTTTCTAACCCTGGTTATCGGTTCAGTATTTTTCCCTTCCACAATAGATTTAGTTGTTGGGTGACTGTAGATCTGAATATTCTAATTCGTTCCTCGAAACACTTCCTTTGTTTGTGATTATCGCATTGGAAAATCAGTACTATCGAATACAAAATCTTAAAAAAAAAATACTCTAAAGCGTCATTAACAGAAATCAATGCAAAATAAAATGTTAAAGTGTGAATTTTATACCCTCGAGTTACGGAGGAAGGTTTGGCGACTAAATAACTCACCATAAAACATCCCGAAAATGTAAAAATTGTTAAGTTGATTCAACTTATGGTTATCACTCTTAATTTACTTTTCCGGAAGTAGCTACACAAATCTATCTTTTTCTCGTTTTTATTCCAAATATGTGAAATATTCCAATATATTGTTGTTCCTGTAATTATTTATATATATTTATCCATTGTATAACTGATACGCTAACAATAATAATAGTAAAATAAACCCTCTAATAATGATTAGCTTCATGCCTAATGAACTTCAGTCAAAAAGACGACTGCCATCTTTTAGGATAATTTCTTTGAAACATGGGAAACAACTTCACGTGGTGTGAACATTTGCTGTTATGAAAGTCTTTGTAATCATAAAATTTTCGTCACAACCCCACAACCACAACCTCTCAGGGATAACTTAAGTTGTAGCTCAACATATGATATGCGTTCCTGCATTCTGAGACTCCTCTGTAAGTCAATTTAATGGCCGTGAATATCGCTCAGGACATTAAAGACACTGGTACTATGCTGCCCTTGAAGGTCTTCATAAAATGTATCAGCGCCCTTGAAATAGAGCCTCATTTTCTGAAACAAGGACATAATATTTTTTCTGGGGGTTGGCGTCAACAAATCTTTATGGTAGTTGAGCTACTGACTAAGTTCCGAACCGCCGCAAATGTTTGGCGCTTTAATGCGAATGTAAAACTTTTTCTAGTGTTGTGCACATGATCAGATGAATGTGGGAAGTTGTCCTCATTATGTAAGTGTGGATAAAGAATGCAATTTAGTTCAGTTAAGTGAACTGAATTAATAGTCAACATTTTTGAAATAATTTATTCCGCGTTCTTTGTTGACAATTGACAAAATATTATATTATGCTCATTAAAGTGATTGTAAAGAGGTTTTCTAAATTTTGTATGTAGCATCAACTTGAACCATTCAATTTTCAATCAGACGTCAGTGGTTCCCGTAATTCCACTTACCTAAGTTTTTTATGACGTCAGTAATCACAAAATATGCTTTATCACATTACCAAAAAATATGGCCCTTCGCGATCAAATCAAATACAGTTACCAAAGTAAAAAAACTGTCAATACAATATCCTCACAATTAGTTAGAGAAAGAACTTCATTGGTTGAATACTAAACCAGAAAGCCATCCAGAACAGGAGATGCATAAAAATTCAGATAATGGATGGCTACACCCACCTTGATTAAAACATCACATTTTTAATTTAACAAGAATGTTGCTTTTAGAAGAACCCATTCTAGACAGTTTTATCACCGTCCTTATAATCACCAGAATTTGCAATGTGAAGGATGGAAGCTAGATTGTTTATTGTTGATTTTGAACCGCCCCATGTAGCATTAAAGGATATATTAGATCTCGAATTAAACCAAACGTAGATCCATCTGTCAGCTGATAAATCTGTGCGATATGCGTACGCACATGTATATGCTATACCTTTGTCCACATAGCTGAATATATGTATTTTAATATTAATATACTTAAATAATATGCATTATTTTCATTGGCGGCTGTAGAATTTTGGGATGAGAGGGTCCCCCATTTTTTTCGAATCAACTCTAAAAAGAAGGTGGAGAGACTTAAGCCCTGTATTTGATAAAATTTGAAAGAGAATCCATTAAATTTTAATATATTTTTTTGACAAACGTGAAAAATACATATTTTACGAAGTAACGTAATTTTTGGCCATTGTCACCACACCCCGCCACTGATAATAATAATTACAATACAACAATGGGCTTCGGTGACTGCTCGTGGACAATATTGTTCCCGGGGTCATTCTTCCAAAGATTAGCTCTGAGACCAAGTCCAAAAGTACCGTGACATGTGTTGCAAAAGAGTTAGGGCATGGTTTTCCGATTCAATAATTATTCTGTTTGTAAACCATTGTTCACTTCATTGACTAAAGAAGACAGAAGATCAGTCAGTAATTTCAATTGAAATCCTAAACTCATTGATTCTCATTAATGAATTATTAATTTTTTTGAGCTAATATCAATATTTTCCTTTAAACTTAGAAATGACCTTAAAGTTCTTACCATGTGATCGATTACTGGTGATTATTCATTACAATAAGGTTTAATTGTAATTTTTAATATCATTGTGGTATTTTGCCATAGCTAAGGTTCGATGAGAGACCTGTAGCGTGACTGTTCGGAAGTACAGGTAATATAGCGGAGAGGAAATGATCTTTAGTTGCAGTAATCGAATATGTCGTTTGTCAGAAGTTTTTTTTTATTGGGGGGGGGGGGGGGGGGGCT